ATATATATATATATATATATACATGTATATGTATATGTATGTCAGAGTGCGTTTTGCACATGCGACTCGAGCGAGCTGTCGCCGTTATGCGGATCGATTGTATACCCCGTTGTCGCCGCTCGCCGTTTAGCTCTAACTTAAGGCGTTAACCCGACACAATGCTCGATAGTTTTGAATCAGAGAGGCACTATTATCGGCTTTCTCGGTCGGCGGCAGGTAGAGATGATTATTTCAAACCCTCGAGAGATTTCGGTGTTTGAAAGGAACGCGAGAAGAGAGTTACGCCGTGGCTCAGAAATGATATTATCAAAGATGTCGAAAAACCGTAATGTCAATCGAAAAAAAAAACGAATTATTCTCCTGCCGACGTTACTCGACAAGCTTTACATTTTCGCAAGGGCATTTACTTGATTACTCAGCTCTCATTTTCTATCATCGATGACGCCGGCGGATATCATTATCATCCCATTACATTTATTCCTCATTCCCTCATTTCTGTCTCATTAAATTTTCGTTTTCAACATTAATAACAAAGGTTAGAGCAATAGATAAAATAAAAAAAAACCAAACTGGAAAATGAAAGTCCAATGATTTCTGAATCGAATTAGATTGCCAGCTTCCGTCAGCGTTTCATATCTTTATAAGGTGGTAATCATCATCATCACATAGTTAACGTATCTATACGTCTGCAAGACGAAACGTTCGACAGCCAAACGATTCCGAAAATATTTTCGAATACGTGACGGATGTCGTGAAAGCGACCGCTGGTCGAAAGTTGGTCGCTAAATGTTTCGGTCATCCAGATGTATGATGATCGGTGTACGTAGTTTCATCAATGAGAAACGTTGCTCTCTAGCTATTACGGTAAGTCACTTCCATATTCATTTTGTGTACAACAGCACGAATGTGCAACTTGTGTACGAAACTTTAATAAAAGTACGATTACAGTATCTTTATTATGGTATCATGCGTTTGCCATTAGGTGTACCCTTTTATATCCTTAAATATGTAAAGTTCGAAAATCTTAGGCTAAAGTTAGGCGCATTAAACACCTCCATCACAGCTTTTGTTTAATAAAAAAAAAGCGGCGCAATAAAAATATATATATAATATCATTAACTCACCAACCATTCACGACTCCCTCTATATTCAACATAGGAATTATTTTGAACACATAATCGTCACGCAAACTGTTGGCGTATTGATTGTCACTTAGGAGAGCCTCCATAGTTCCATGCATCACCCAAGAAGCGTTGCTCTCACCAGGATGTACTCTGGATGTTAAAAAAATCACCTTTCGCGTCTGAAAGAAAATGATATTTGGCTTTAAATATTAATGCTACGTTAAACGACGTATTGTCATGCGAAGTTTTATACATATACATCTTCGAGATTTCTTACATGTATAGGATTGGTCTTGGAATCTGGTGACGTAATGGTAAGTACAGGATTCTCATTGCCGTTTAAAGTCTCGCAGAGCGTCTCCGCGCGAAAGTATACGTTCGCCGCGGAGACACTTTTCGTCCACTTCCAGATATTAGTCATCAGCCGACTGTACGTGTAAGGAAAATGATACGCCAGATAACAAACGTCGTGAGCGTGCGGAAACGTAACTGTGAAGGACGTCGTGAAGTACGTCTTCCCTTTGATGGACCGTTGATAACAATTTCGATAGTAACAAATGTCCACGCCGGTCCTCACCCAACCTGCCCTACTACATTGCGCCTCCGTTACGCTGAACAGTATCGGCTTCATGCCGAAATTGAACTGTGAATTCGTCTTCTCGCAGTTGATTATATTAAACGTGTACGCACTCGCCTCCATGCTGGAGACCTCGAAGTAGAACCACTGATGTCTGGAACCGCTGTTAACATCTGGCGTCAGGATAAGATCGTATTCTCGTGGACCTATCTAAGGTGAAAGTTAAGAGATGTTAAATGTTAACGTAACGGAAAATAAATTTAACGGAAAAGAAATTAATTCGTGTGTATCCTCGGATTAACTTGCAGAAATCGCCGCCAAGTCACTATGAAGTCTCTTACGTAATATGAACATAATCGATTATATAAAGTGCAAGTAGCGGACCGATTGTACCTGAATAGCTTTCCTCAGATTGCCGCTTTCAAATCTGGACTCGAACTGCAATCGTTTTGTGCCCACGTGTCCATGATTGCAAATCCTCTTCTCATCCCTGTTGTCAAACAGACACTCATCGTCGTCCGACGTTCCTCGGGAGATGGAGTTTGCGAGTGCATCGAGGTCATAAACAACTTCCTGGAAAGTGGTGGCGGCATGGAGACCTCGTTCCACGCAGGTTAGCAATTTCGCACGGCAAACTTTTCTGTCCTTAGTGTTGAGCGGCTCTGCTTTTCCCAGACTGTCGCCGCCAATCAGATCCGGATAGGCGACCTTGACAAAACCTATAACGCTTCTCACTCTGCTCGCTACGACGCAATAAGCCTGTCGATCCGTGGCGTTTGCAGACACGTCTTTTAGGACCTTCAAATTCTGCGTGCTGTTCACCAATTGACTCTTCGTCGTACCGTTGGATTTCGAAAAATCCTTGATCGAGGTCTTTGTCTTTACCGCCTTCGCGAGCGGTGAATTCATCTGATGGTCATTCATCAAACAAAGATCGATTAGTTTGCCATTTGTCGATCCGACGATGTTTAGTTGCGATTGCAAATTTCCCAGCTCCTTGAAGAACGTATGATATCTGACATGAAAAAAAAAGAGATGTTTGTAATTATAATTGATATCGATGTGTGCGTTTGTAAGAATTATATTTTACCTACCCAGCAAGATCCTCCTCTGATCTCTGCGAGGTAAAAACTCCGGCAAAAAATTTGTTCTCGTCCACTTCGTTGCCCAAGTGAATCTCATTGTCCATTGTATCTCTGGAATCGTGACTCTCCTCGTCATCCCCGGAATCAAGATCGCTGTACTGTCTACCAATCGAAGCCACGCTGTTCGCCTTCGCAGAAATTAATATTCGAATTGCAAGAATATTTAACAGCATGAATTTTTACATTATGGACATTTTGGATATTGCTATATTATGTTGCTACACAAAGTAAGAATCGTTAGAGGAAATACTGAGAAGAACTGTCTATTTGATTAAATTAATTTAGTTTGTCGTTCTTTTTTTCGTTGGAAAATATATATTTAAATCAAATATATAATCAAATGTAATATGTTTGACTTAAATACATATACATATTTCGTCGAAAGAAACGAAGATGAATTAAAACTGATTTGGTCAAATGAATCATTTTTTTCTTAGTATATATAATGTTATTAATAAACGCATATTTTGAAGGTTGTACAGTGTAAGGCTTCAAATATTACGTTCGCGACGTGTTATGTTAATCTGATTTTTTATGAAGAAATGACACACCTGACTGTCGATGTCGCTACCGCTTTCAGCACTGTTTGCCCTGTTGACATTCACTTCGGGCAGAACAAATCTGCATGCAGAAAAAGAGAACCAACCAAAAGTTTAATACACATAATCGTAATTATAAATGCCATAATTATCATGCCGTTTGAATGCGTTAATTTTCAATTAATCCGATGATATTTTTTACAACGGAAACTACCGTTATTTATTAACCTTCATCTTGGTAGCAACACAAAAAGTGATCAACTCATAATATTTATAATACTCTTTGTATAAAGGCATCAAGAAAATATCGAAATATAATGAACATATTACGATTATCGAGATATATACGAGGTACATATATACGAGTCTATACTGGTCGAGATGACCTCGAACGTTTCATTTACCTCGCGGGCGATATTTCGGGCACCGATAGTTCCTTTTTGTCCAGACACTGATTGATTATTCCGCAAATACGCGACAGCAAGCAGTCGTAAGCTTTATCCTCTGGACAACTCGTGCAGAACCGGTGGAGTAGCTGTAGGCCATTGTTCGACTTGATAGCCTTCCTTCCAGCTTCTAGAATGTCAGGCAGAATATACGCATGTGGGATACCGGTGACTTTCAAAAGAACGTTAACAGAGAATGATAATATAAAATATAAACAATTTCAAGTAGAGAAAAATAGAAAATTAAAAATTAAACAACTAGTATCTTCCATAGTACTTTTTATAGAGTCTATCTCTAGTAAACCTACTTATTACGCAGAGATGCTGAAGCGTATTCAAGGCGTAATTACAAATTTTCAAGCGCATCTGCCCGTCGAATCTCTCCCATCTCTCGAAAATTCGCATAAGCAGATGTACTATTCCCGCCTTAACGAATTTGTTACAGCATAGTTCTAGAAGTAAAAGATCACGATGGTTAAAATAGTTAATAATGAAAAAGAAAATACATTATACGTTAAACACGCGTTCTTACTATTTGTCGTTAAATGTTTGAAGCACTCTAATAATGTCCTTAATTTCAAATGCGGCGTATAACCGACACTGACAAAGGTTTTCTCCAAAGTGCTAGTAATACCGTCTTTTACTAGTGTTTGCAAGGAAAAAGCTATAAGAGAATAATAACTTTATTATTCTCGAACACATAAGCGAATTGTCATCAGATGCATAAAACAAACTGTTGCTTACAGTTTTTAGAAAGAGTCTTGATGATCAACAACAGCGGCAATAACATCTTACTGTTGTTGTAATATTGCTTTAACAGCATATGGAACACTTTTATGGAGTTGAGCAGTTTCATTTTTGACACAAACTTCTGGTCCCTCTGAGCCACCTAAAAAAATATTTTAACACCTTATATTTCTTAGACATTTTAAAAAATTGCATGCTCTTTTAAGTTTTTGTTATTTTAAAAACTAAGGATTTTTCATTTGCCATCTCAGAACAAAAACAATATGATAGTATAATGCATAAAATTACAATGTAAAAAGTTAGAAGTAGTCAAAATAAATTCTACACTCTAGAAAAATGGAAATTGAAAAATATTTTCATA